AGCCCCGCCGCCAGCAGCGCGCCCAGCGCGGCGCCGCCCAGCGCGGCCGGCAGCCCCAGCAGCAGCGGGGACGGGGCGAGCCGCGGGGAACCTGCGGGGGGACAGCGCTGTCACTGCGGCCGGGGGACACGGCGCCAGTGCCCCGCTGCTTCGGACGGCCTTTAAGTCCTAACCGAGAAGGGGCCGAGGCCACCTGGGGGTTCAGCCGCTTCCCGGCAGTCACAGAATGCCGGGATGGTTTAGCTTGGAAGAGGTCGCAAAGCCCATCTCGTTCCACGCCCTGCCGTGGGCAGGGTCTCCTTCCACCAACCAGGCTGCTCCAAGCGCCGCCTAACCTGGCCTTGGACACTTCCAGGGATGGGGCATCCCTGCGTGAAAACAAGCAGCAAACTTCAGGCTGCAAATGTCCCCGCCAACAGGCGTGTGGGCGGGAGTCAGGAGCGCAGCTCCTGCCTGGATAATGCCTAGTATTTGGCATGCCAAAGTTTGTTCCCTGCAGCCGTATCTGCCACAAGCACAGCCACCAGATATGGAGCTGGTCTGGGCTGATGTTTGCCACCCTGCCCTCGCCAATGCAAATCTGGTATTTTCCAGCATGAGACTCCACTCACCTGTGCCTGTGAAAGGCCCCACTGGAGCAGTATCCCTCCTGGAGACCTGTGTCGTTGGGACTGGATCTGTTAGTGGAGAATGGTGGATGCATTGCAGTCCCACTGGGAAAATGGGGTCTGCTCTGCCAGCCTAGACTCACCCATTATCCTGTGTGTGTCTTGCCATCAGGCCTGGGGCAGCATTTGGCACTCATGCTCCCCTCCCTGACCTTCACCCCACAGGTTCCTGGCAGCCCTGGCTGATACAATGCATCATTCCCAGCACAGCCTGGGAATGCTTTGGCTTTGCCCTCCTAGCACTTCCCTAGATTTCCAGAGGACACCTTCACTCTCTCTTTCCTATGGTGACTCCCTGGCTGGCCTGGGGGGCTTTGCCATCAGCAGCACCATAAACTTCATGAGGTGTGGAGGCCTGTGCCAGGTCTCTTGCCCCAGAAAACCTCCCTTTGAAGCTCTGCAGCCTCAACAGTTCAGGTCCCAGATGGACACAGACAATATTTTCTTGTCCCATAATCTGGCAAATTCTCAAGCAGGGGGGTTACCAGCCTCTGGTGTTGCCTCTGGGTAACAATCCAGACACAATTCATACACAGCATAGGTGCTTGATCTGGCTGTGGAAGAGCAAACTCCCTGCCTCTGTCTCCTCCTGCCACAGAGGTGAATAACCCTGGCCTGGGCACTCACCTGTCACTGTGTGCTCCATGTCACCACTGTCTTCCTGATCGGTGGTTGAGAGGTGTCCATCCGTGGTTCCCCTGCTCGTCTGCAAGGCCGCTGTTGTGGCGGGCAGACCTGCAAGGTTAGAGGGAGGGAGAGGCTTACACAGGGGTTTGACCACCATGGTGATGCTGCTGTGGTCCAGAATTCCCCACAGGTGGGAGCAGGAGGAAGCAGCCCCCTCCCAGCTGACAGCAGGGGGATGCTGTGCCAGCAGAGTCAGGCAGCACCTGCAGCACTGAGCCCTGTTCCCCTGCTGCTCCCTCCCGTGTGGGACTGCTGGGAAAAGCACCACAGGGCTTCAGCCAGAGCTCTGTGCCTGGGAGCTCAGCGAGCTCTGCCTCTTTCACAGGCCACTGTGTGGTGCCTGTGCTTGGCTCTGCCCTCAGGGGCATCACAGCTGTGCTGAGCCAGTAACCAGGCAAGGAGAGATGCAAGTTTTCCACCAGGCACCCCTCATGGAATTGTTTAGACTGAAAAATACCCGTGAGGCCTTTGAGTCCAACCTGTCCCACACCAGTGCTGCAGAGCCTGGCGGTGTCAGAGCCTGGCGGTGTCAGAGCCTGGCGGTGTCAGAGCCTGGCGTGTGTGGGCTGCAGTGTGTCTCAGTGTGTCTCCTGAGACACGCAGCTGGTGGTGGGGAGCAAAGGCCAGTCTGGTTTGTTCTGCCACTGAATTACCACTCACTTGTTCCTTGTTCTCAAAATAAAGCCCCGACCGACTCCTTGTCTAAACTTGCTGACCTGCGGCAGGCAGCCTTACAGGGAGAACTTCAGAAAACCCACAGAGGAATAAATAAAAAGGAATGTTTGAAGTAGAAATCCTCTTTTGCATCAGAAAAGAGCAGTTCCTGAAAGAGGACGAAACGGACCGGAGGAAATAGAGAAGGACACAGAGCGGAGCCAGCGGGGAGGGCTGTGTGCGAGTGCTGAAGGCGTTTGGCATTTCCTTCTTCGCGGGCAGGGAAGGAGGATGCTGCTGTTTGCCCTGCAGAGGGATTTCTCCGGGGGCCGTGCCGCGGCTCTCACCTGTCACCGTCAGCTGCACAGCATCGCTGCGCTGCACGGCGCCGGCCCCGGCCCTGTTCTGCGCCTCGCAGAAGTACGTGCCGCTGTCCGAGGGCCGCAGGCTGGGCCAGGCCAGCTCAGCCCCGCTGCTCAGGAGCTCGGCC